GTACCTTTTAACTTTATCAAAAAATGCACTCACAAACATATTAAGATCAGCCTTCCATGAAGACAAGTACATATGGGATAAGTAATTCGGGGTTAGCCGCATGTTCCAATATGCTAATGCACAACTGTGATCACCATTGTAAGTCTTCACCACAAAACTATTTTCATCTTTCACCTTGCTTGCGTACAACAATCATCTACATGACTTCTCCTTGCATACTGCTCAGTTAATGCTTGTTTCAAAACTACTTTCGTCTCGAACACCATACTGTAGTGCACAGAGGGGTGTAAAACACAAACCATATTTCTTAAAGGATGGTTTTACAACATAACGATTTAATATGAGGGAGTATATCAAAACGTATTAAATACACAAGGAGTATTATCGACAACTTATTAGAATATAAAGGTGGATTTTGATAACCTTTTCAAAACTTTGGTTGTTCCATGTCAGTCAACGGATTGAATTCATCCATTCATCCCCTTTGTCTGGATGTTGTTCCTTCATCTTTTTCACTATCCAAACTGCATAACTCATCTGACTCCTCGTAGTCAGTGTCCGAGCATCTAACTTCTTGCCCATTGTACAATCCAATACAAAAATTAGCTTGCTTCTCAACCTCGTCGCTAGCCTCAGGTTCATCCTCAACCTCGTAGTCACTCTCCACAAAGCCTTCAATGAAATTTTCCATCCTATCATCCGGGACCTCCTCAACCATCTCTAGGTTCTCTTCATGCCGATCCTCTTGAGAAGTACCAACTCCACCTTCGTACTTGAGTCTTTCCTCAAATTGCGACCACGTCTCCTCTACATGTTCAGGCACGCAGTCACCAATGTTCACGTCACCCAAACCACCTTCATCCACTTCAAACACTGGGATGTAGCAACCTTTTGTAGTACTTTTACCCCCTTCATTATGGGCCCTACTTTTTGGGACCTCAAGCACTGGTTCTTGGTATGGTTCTTGAGCTAAATCTGCTATCTGTCTAGGCACAACTACATAAATCTCAAGCAACCTATGTCCTTTAAGGTCCTCCAACATCTCCTTTACATCATATTCAGTATGAAACCTCCTCAAAGCAATACCAAATTTACCGTTCTGCATCCAAAAGTAAATTTTCACAATTACCACAAACGTACTCAAGACCTAGAACCATTCCCTATTGAAGTATTCAACCCTTACAAAGTCCACAAATATCATCGTACCATGCTCATACTTGACATTATTTGGCTTATCAAAGAAGACACCACTAGTTTATATAGCCATTGTGAAGTAGTCTGTGTATCCGGTTGGATAACAATGTGAACAAGGGTTAGTACAGGAATCAGTTCAAGGCCAATAGCAAACAATATGAACATACTTTTTACAACAAAATTCCAATAAAACACGTAAACAATTTGAACCAAAACCCTTTATTTCTTAAATCGCAAAAATAGAGCAACTTACCAAATATAGGCGCTTCTTCAAACCCTCTTGAGTGTTGGAGCCTCCATTCCCGATAATCACAGTCAAACTATAAACATTCCAAAAAAAAAACAACTAATTTCAATATCATATTCCACGATTTCACAAATTTCATGCACTCATTTTTTTAAAAATAAAAACCCGTTTCCACAACTTACTATCATACATTTGCTGAAGAATGTTAGTTGTTCAGACTTCAGAACACTTCGAGGAAACCTCTACGATCGTGGGTGAACAAGGAAATGATCGTACAACGTGGGTTAGCAACTGGAATCGTCTCAACCTTCGTGTCACTTCGTCTTGCACAAAAACCCCATCTCGTGTTGGGAAGGTGTTATTAAAGATGAAAATATAAATTGACTCATTTGCCATTTCTCATTTATCCATTTTACTCCATTTTCCCTGTGATTTAACGACACACTGGGTGGATGTTGACAGTAGGAGTGTTTTTTGCACAAAACGTTTGAAACAAAAGGGTTTTCTACAATTTTCAATAGGTAGAGGGGTATATTGAAAAATGAAATGTTTACAAGGAAAATTTTGCTATTAATCCTTTTAGACATGAGAAACGTTAATCTTGTCTCTGTATAAAATTGTATTAATTTTATGCTCCATTTTCACGATATGCATACACAAATATGTCTAGTCAAGCGTTTATAAAGAAGGGCAAGAATGTCTATATTAAGGTTTGGTTTGGTTTGGTTTGATGGCATCTTTTGAAGGAATGAAGACAAGAACTACACAAGACTTTGAAAGGATAACGATGAAAATGTAAAAACCACTATGTTACTTATGGTCATTATTCAAATTCTTAACTTTTTTTACTTATTTTATTGACTGAACTGAAAATTAGAAAGACACTAATAAATTATATAAAAATATTTTAAAAAGATATTTTTTAGAAAGTAGACTCCAGTATGATATTATTCAACATATCTAGTAGGCTAAAAAATATAAGTCAAATTCTCACTGGCACCGGAAAAAGAAAAGAAATGAACAATTGAAAATTTGTTTAAAATTTTAGCCAACAATAATATTTGGTAAAAAGGCCTACATTCAATACTTTTTGATGATCTAGCCTTTAGTCTATTTTATAAGGGTGGTTATATTGCTACCACAAATTTTATTTGATACACCACATTTAAATTTCAGTTAAGCTTTTCAATCTTTACTCATTATAATAATTATTTTCTTAAATTTTTTCGTCGAATTCTTATATTCAACCTTCAATTAATTAGTACGTCTCATTCTTGATGAAAATTTATATCAACATATTTTGTTTTCATGCTTTGAAATAAGTGAAAAATATTTTCACACTTTTATTTATTTTTTTAAAAAAATGACGAAAAATAAGTTATTTTACGCTATTTCAATGGACTTTTGGATATAAAACCGTTATCAAATAAAAAATGTGTTAACTAATAAAAAGTTTGAAGATAAGAATGACATGAAGAACCGTTAGTTATATAAGTGCTATAATGAATAAAGATTAAGAATATTAAGTACAATTAAAATGTGGTGCAAGAAATAAATTTTTTGGTGTGAATATAATTACTCATTTTATTATGTATTAGAAGTCTTAAATACCCTTCATTTAAAATGTCCATTTGAAATCATAATTTACCAAATTTTACAAACATAAATTTTTAATTTCATTCTCACTTTTCATATCCAATTTAAAACCAACAGCACAATAACATGTTGTCTTTTTAAATGGTTGTGTCATTTTAAACAATTTTGTGTTCGTTCACTTTATATTCACCCATATCCACATGAAAATTAACGATAACAAGTTTTAACTATATTTGGAGTTAAATTAAAAGTCCATGACCCAAGACGGCACGTTGTCATTATAAACAGTTCAATGACGTTTTAACTAATTTAGTATCTGTTTCATTTTATATTCTCGTATTTATATGAAAATGAACTTAAACAAGTCTTCACTATGTTTAGAGTGAAATCGAGATCTCGCAACCAAGAATGGCATGCTAGTATGTTTATATGATTGGGCATTATTTCAACTAATTTCATATCCGTTTCACATTATTTTTACTTATATCTACATGAAAATGAACGAATGCAAGTTCTCATTACATTTGGACACGAGTGTCGATACAAAATTCACGCAACAATGACACACTATTGTTTCTTGAGTAAATTACACTAGACTTAATTATGAACTAAGGTAAGTATCCCAAATTCGATTATATTCAAATTGAAAGATAAGATCCTCAAGAAATTAGTTCGTTTAACTTGTATAAGTCTTCTAAGATATTTCAAGATATGATTGAAGTGAAATCGAGACTCCGTGACCAAAAATGGCATGTTATCGGTTTAAACGGCTGAGTATTGTTTCAACTATTTTTGTAATCGTTTCACTTTTCATTCATTCGTAGCCATATGAAAATAAATGAATGCAAGTTCTCATTATATTTAGATACCAAAATCGATACAAAAATTAATGGGATAGCGACCGACAATATTGTGCCATAAATAAACTACACTATGTTTCACTATGAACGAAGGTAAGTAACTCGAATTTTATTATACTCCAATTACAATATAAGACACTCCACAAATTAGATGGTTTAACTTGTACATAAGTTTTTTGAGATGTTACAAAATATGATCGACTAGTTTTATATGTGGTAAGAGAACCTTACTTATGGTTTTGTTGCACTGGGAACGAGAGATCAATTTCATATATTTATATAGCTACAATTCCACTTATGGTTATCTCCGTTGCATTGGGGACAGGAGATCAATTTCATTTCTTTATATAGCTACAATTTTATAACGAGACTTGAGAGTCCTCTTTTTGCTTTTTAATTATAGGTGCAGAAATGATACAATATGAGGAATTACTAACCCTTTTCAATTTTTTAATGAAAATCCTATTGTGGTACTTGTTATATTAACTAATCGATTTCCAGGCCAATGCACCGAACACGAACGCACCTCTAAAAAGCTCTATTCGTTCAATCCATAGCCACTCCAATCAAGTCATCAAGCTCCATTTTTTGACTCATGAATGTAAAGAAGAGGGGAATATACACTTCTTATTCTCGCAATCTTATATCAAGAAGAAGACCAGAATTGCACACACAAATACCTTATGTTTCGCAAGAACACCTTCCATTTACTAATCAATTAACAAATTAATGAGCTAGTTCTATTTATGTGTTGAATAATTCTATATACATTTACTTTCTATTAACCTAAAGACACGAGAATGGGAATCTTCCAAGCAGACTACAATAGTGAAAGGATATTATATGCAGGTGGAACCACTTCAGAATTACTCGTTTAGTCGTTCAAATAACATTGGAAGAAAGAACCCTCCATTATCAAGCAGCAACGCGCCTTATTCAGCACAATCGAAGCGAATCCTGGAAGACCCTTTGGCCTTCTGGAGGAAGCATATGGAGGTTACATGTCGAAAAATGAACTATTAATCAG